GCCGTCAGGCGGGAGTCAGGGGGAAGAGAGGTACGGAGAGACGGAGAGAGAAAGAAAGAGCGAGAAGGAAAGAGAGAGAGGGAGGGAGAAGAAGGAGAGAGAGGAAGGGAGAAAGAAAGAGGGCCAGGAAGAAGGAGAGGGAGAAAGTGGGAGGGAGAGGGGGAGAAGGAGAAGGATAGGAAGGGAGAAGAAGGAGAGAGAGGAAGGGAGAAGGAGAGAGGGGCAGGAAGAAGGAGAGGGAGAAATTGGGAGGGAGAGGGGGAGAAGGAGAAGGATAGGAAGGGAGAAGAAGGAGAGAGAGGAAGGGAGAAGGAGAGAGGGGCAGGAAGAAGGAGAGGGAGAAATTGGGAGAGAGAGGGGGAGAAGGAGAAGGAGAGGAAGGGAGCGAGAGAGGGAGGGGGAAGGAGAAATAGAGAGAGGCAGGGAGAAGGAGAAGGAGAGAGAGGCAGGGAGAAGGAGAAGAAGAGAGGGGGAGCGGAAACAGGAGAGAGAGGCAGGGAGAAGGAGGAGGAGAGGGAGGAAAAAGGAGAAGGAGATAGAGGGAGGGAGGGAGAGGGAGGAAAGGAGGGAGGGAGGGAGGGGGGGGAAAGGAGGGAGGGAGGGAGAGGGAGGAAAGGAGGGAGGGAGGGACAGGGAGGAAAGGAGGGAGGGAGGGACAGGGAGGAAAGGAGGGAGGGAGGGAGGGGGGGGAAAGGAGGGAGGGAGGGAGAGAGAGAGAGAGAGAGAGACTGAGAGAGAGAGAGAGAGAGAGAGCAGTACTACCATTTATACCAGTAATCGTAATAACTTCGTATAGCATACATTATACGAAGTTATACGAGAGAGAGAGCAGTACTACCATTTATACCAGTAATCGTAATAACTTCGTATAGCATACATTATACGAAGATATACGAAGAGAGAGGGAGAAATTGGGAGAGAGAGGGGGAGAAGGAGAAGGAGAGGAAGGGAGCGAGAGAGGGAGGGGGAAGGAGAAATAGAGAGAGGCAGGGAGAAGGAGAAGGAGAGAGAGGCAGGGAAAAGGAGAAGGAGATGGAGGGATGGAGAAGGAGAAGGAGATAGAGGGAGGGAGGGAGAGGGAGGAAAGGAGGGAGGGAGGGAGGGGGGGGAAAGGAGGGAGGGAGGGAGAGAGAGAGAGAGAGAGAGACTGAGAGAGAGAGAGAGAGAGAGAGAGAGAGCAGTACTACCATTTATACCAGTAATAGTAGGAATTCTATTGATAATGACAAGGATGAAAATGATGATTATAATAACGCTAGTGATGATGATAATAATAATGGTAAAGATAATATCAATATTAATAAAATGAAAACAATAATAATATTAACATTAATCAAAAACAATAACATCTATAATTACAATAATAGTATAATGATAACATATATAAAAATAATATTAATATAAATAATGACGATAATTATAATAACAATAATAATAATAATAATGATAACATTAATAATAATAATAATGATAACATTAATAATAATAATAATGATAACATTAATAATAATAATAATAATAACAATAACAATAACAATAATGACAATAATAATAATAATAATAATAATAATAATAATAATAATAATAATAATAATAATGATCATAACAACATTATGATGATAATAATACAACAACAAGCACACCACCACGTCCAACAACGACAATAATAACGATAATACTAATCTAAATAACTTTGAATTTTGTATAGGAAGTCAGAAAGTTTTTTGATGAACACTCACGAAAGGTCAAAGACACAGACAGAAAAAAGGTGTTCGACTCCGAAATCTCGTGTCTGAATCCTTGCGGAAATCTCCTAAGCCGCCGATGTTTGGCTCTGACTCGGCCGATGCTAAAGGCAGGTCTGGAAGTGTCCCACGCGTAAGGACGGTCTTTTCATCGTCCTTTTGAGACGCCCACTGCGTTAGAGCGCTTTCGTGGTTATAGAAGATAACTCCGCATCAGTAATGATCAGGAAAACTTTCTTGACACTTTTTTGCTTACTGTCAAACGTTAACGGAGCCGTTTCCTCCTCGTTCCATGGAGCTCTCTTAGATTAATCCTAATGGCGCCGCACGCCTTAGCTGTCGCTACAACAAATGTAGTGGATGCCACACAAGCATATATGATATCAAATAGGTAAAATTTCATTCATATGCTTATGATTAGTTCTTTCAAACGAGTAACAAACAAAGTCAACGACTTATTATCATCATCATTATTAATGCTATTATTGCAACTGTTATTATCATCATCAGTATTAATGTTATTAACACCACTGCTATTATCATCCTCATTATTGCTATTAATATCATTATTATTGTTGTTCTCAGTTTATATTATTGTTGATATTAATTCATTATCATTGTTATCAATATTGTTATTATCATACCATATTGTTATCAATAATATTGTTCTGATTCTCATTATAGTCATCCTCTTTATTATCATTACTATTTATCCCCACTACCATCATGGTTGCCACTGACAAATCAAGAACAATGAAAAGACAAGAACACTGGCGATGACGCCAACGCGTCCGGAGCAGCCGCAGGAGGGCCGTCCTCCGAGGCTCACCTGACAGGCCGGTGATGTCCATCTTGGGGAGGTTGCGCGCCTTGAGGACGACGACGGTGAGGCGGTTGGCAGCCGGCTGGTGGCACAGGGACACCAGGAGCTCACCTCGTCCCTGCGAACGGATCTGTGGGTAATGGGCTTAACATCATATGCTGGAAGACGCCGTCGGCTCTCGGGGCTAGGGCGGTGAGGCGGAAGAGTGTGTGGGTGGGG